TGAGGCATGCTGGGTGTCTGAACTCCCCGAGGGGAGCCTGCTAACACTGATACTGAGGCCATAGCTGGCACCTACTTTTGAATCTGTTAAAAGCTTAGTTGGTTTACACTCGGGTCTCTGTAACAATTGTAGCATTCTGTGTAGCAGACTTTTCCTCTGTTTTGACCTGTGTTCGAGAAAAGATGATGCCTTCCATATTTCGAGTTGGCTTTGTGCGCATCTCTACATGGACACGTTTTAGGATGTTACAGGCTCTGAAGTGTTGGAGAGAAACTGCTTGGGGCAATGGGAAGTATGGTTGGGTCGGACTGTAAGCACGCATGGAGCCTTGTGGCACTTGGCCGGGGCCTTGTCCTTGGCGTGGCCTCATTCTCTGCCCCTCGTGCTTCAGGGGCTCCGTCTAGCCTGCAGAGAGGCCAGGCCAGGAGCTACTTGGAAGGGCTGGCTCCTCTTATGCAACGGACTCAGTTCTTAATGCCCATTTCTTTGAAACTTGTGTGGTGGGAGGGCGGGAGGGGTTTGTGTGGGTGTTGGGTTGGGGTGAACTTGGAGTTGAAAGTTAAAACTAGAAATACTATGATGTGGTCTGCTTGCTCTCTAGACAGGCTGTCGGTCCGAGGGGTCTCCGGGGGCCAGAGCTGCTGGTGCCTGGTGTGTTTACTCAGGTGGCTCTCCAGGTCACGTTCGTGTACTACGACAAACAATAAGCGTGAAAAGAAATTTAGGAGGAACTAATAAAAGAAACCTGTCTTACCCTCAAAGGAATGGATTCCTTAATTTCATACAGTACAGTGTAGTGTGTGTATGGCTGCATGTGTGCATGTGTGCTTTCTGTAAGAACTAGGACTATCTACCCCTTTAGATAAATTCTACTTGTCGTGGACCTCCCGTCTGCAGAACAGTCAAGGCCCTGCCTTCTGGGTAGAAGAAATTCCCCTCTTACAGGCTTCCTATTGTGCAGTGGCCCAGTTCTGTGGATCCTGGGAAACCCGATCTTGCTCCCCGGATTGGGCCAGCCTTTTGATGGCGTGACAACAGCAGAAGGACACCTGGGGCCACACCAAGTACCAGGACTGAAGCCCGTAGGTCACAGCGGTCATCAAACTTTTAAACGGGGCCAGTTCATGGTCCCTCAGACCCGTTGGAGGGCCGGACTATAGTTAAAAAAAAAACTTAACAAATTCCTGTGCACACTGCACATAATCTTATTTTGAAGCTAAAAAAAAACCAAAACGGTAGAAACACCCGGTGGACCATATAAATGTCCCTGTGGGCCACGTGTGCCCGTGGCCGTAGTTTGAGGACGCCTGCTGTAGGACATGGCCCAAAAGGTGCTAGCTAAGTTAAACATCTGCCACCTGTGTGCGTGCGTTCATGTGAGGGTTACTGAAAAGGGAATTAAGTTGAGACAACAGTACAAGGTGTGGGCCTCCATGGGGATGGGCCAGGGACCTTGCTCCCTGGACACCTGCCACTTACACAGCTCTGATAACCCTTGCAGTGCCAGGAGCCGTTTGGCTGCTAGAAGGCACCAGTGAGCCTACTGATTGAGCAGCTTGCTTTCCCCTTGGGGGTCTCCGTGGGGTCAGGGAGACTCCTGAGACCTGCTAGCTGGGGCCTTGCCATCTCA